GGGGGGGGGGGGGGGAAGCTTTCCTAGGGGGCAAAAGTATTTAAGGCACATGTATAAATAAAACGGCTTTCACTCCATTTCTTGGGAGGCAGCAAACGCCATTCCCATAAGAGGGCATAATCTAGGCTAGACCCACCTAGCAAGCAAGACCCGAAGAATTTTTCTTACCTGTTGGAAACGTGGAGTAAAAAATCATTCACCACATGCTCATGTAGGCTGCAGATGTTCCTCTGCAAGTCGTTCTTCATCCAGTCCTCAACATTGCACACTTTGACTTGGCTCGAATGCCAGCAGATTGAGAGGTGGCGCAAGGCTGGTCCCAGGACAAAGTTCCCCTTTGTCAGTTCGGCCAGAGAACGGAAGTGCAGCAGGGGCCACAGCGAGGGGTCCCGGAAGACCCGGAGCAGCCTGCGGCACGTCTGGGCCAAACTCTTCCTGCTGCTTTTGTCCAGGAAGGAGAAAATGTGCAGCAGGCATTCCCAATTCAGCTCTGTTAAGCGCATTGCCCTCCAGTGCCTGCAGAGCAAACGCAGCACACTCCAGCAACAGGGCACTGGGCTTAATCAGCTTCCAAAAGGCTCCAGATCCCTTGCACAAATATGGTGTGGAATGGGAGTTATTTTTGGCTCCCAGCTGGGAGAGGAGTTTCAAAGAGGACAAGGCAGCAGCCTCCCGTTCGTCTCCCTACGGAGTCAGTTACTACAGGGGTAGCAAAAAGGCCTGGTTTCGTCCACTCTTGGCTTTAAAGGGCCCGAGCCGCTTGGTACGTTAGACCTGGATTGGCAAGTTCGGCAAGAACCTGTTGGCTTCACCTCCTGCGAGCGCAGCCCCTCACCCAGAGCCCTTGTATGTGGTCCCCTTCCACAGGGATGGGCTGAATCTCGCGCTCGGGAGAAGCCATGCCCTCGACAGGAAGGGGGGGGCGTCACGCGCTGCAGCCCACGGGACAGCCCTTGGCTTCAAAGTGCTCCCACACCTGGCAGCTCTTCCCGGCAGGTGCAGCAGGAAGACCCCTTTTGCCCCAGGGCTCAACCCAGCCCGCGCCCCAGGCCCTGCACGAAGCCTGCAGCAAAGGCCTCCTTGCGAGCCCTCTTTGGCTCCCACGCCGAGTGGCTGCTTCCCCAGAGCCAGGGGCCCCTCCACTGGCAATGCTCACAAAGAGCACCCTCAACACCCATCCGTGGCTGAGCAACGCACAGCTGAGCTCTTCTGGGACTCCAGGCGGAGGGTGCATTCTGTTCACGTGTGTGTGTGTGTGGGTGGTGGGGGGGTAGGCTGGCTTTCAGCCTGCCTATGCCCTAAACCAAAGCAGCTCCGCAGCTCAGAAAGAGTGAAACGTCAAGCCTGCCAGCCGTGCAAATGCAGCACAAATCAGGGCTGGACGAGTTCCGGCCTCCAACGAAGCAGAGGTGCCCAGTTCCTGCCCCGAGAGCGCCCCGAAGCCAGGCCGAGGCTCAATTCCTCCCAGCCCAAGAGAAGACACGGCGTCAGAGACAGCGTTGAAAGGAATATATTTTATGAGACAGCTTGAACCATGGTCAAGATCACGCGACAAACGCGCTGATGACAATCACATTTATACATGAAAGTGTAATGGCCAACAAAGACGCCCACGGACTGCACACAAGCCCAAGGGCCCGCTGGCACACCCCGGAACCAGAGAGGGTCCCCTCTGCGAAGGCCGAGCGCTCAACAAGCACGGTCCGGCTCCTGCACGGGGCCCTTCTGGATGGCTCTTCGGGGACCACCAATCTCGAGGCGGAGCCCCTTTGTGATGGAAACACTGTGGCTCCAGCGGACCCCGTGGAGGAAGCAGCTCTGGGGCGGTTCAGACGACAACAGCTATGGTGGGCAAGGAGGGCGAGGCTGGGCATCTCCGTCACCACCCGCATATTCCTTGCCAAGGCCCCTCGCGGGCCCAGCAGAGCTGCGGTGGCCGAGATAAAAGTCCCACCCCGTGAGAAGAGGGTTCACCAAGAGGGGTGACAATGCAATACTCTTTCAGGCTGGGCTGGTTCGGTCCCTCTGACCCAACTCACTGAGTAGAATCCAGCGGATAAGGAAATCTCCACCAGGAAGAGAAATCGATCGCGTTGCCACAACTCGCCGATTATCTGTCCGTTTGCAACTCTGCAGGCCAGGTGGGAGGTAAATGAGGCAAGGCTTCCCTTGTCCCTGCAGGGGGAGCCTCCTGAGCCCCCAAAACACACAGCCTCTCATTTCAGCCGCCCTCCCCCCCCGAGGGAAGAGTGGCACTGCAGCACGGGGAAACGGGACGGCATTCTTTTTCCGCTGCTCTTGTGGCCCAAACTACTGAGAAAGGCACATTGACATCACCTGCTGACCCTCTGCCCTTGATTAATTCCACGGGGCGCAGCTCACAGCTGGGAGGCCCAGGAGAGCTGACCGCCCAGTTAAGCCCCGGCCTGACCTGCAGGAGAAACCCGGAGTCCCCGCAGCCGCCTCCTTGAGCAGCGGCCTGCCACGGGACTGCCAATTCTCTGCAGCCTCCCTGGGATTGCACGGCACGCAGATGGGGGCACGCAAGGCGCCAAGCGTTTCCTCTTCAGCTGGCAGAGCTGCAAGAGAGCCCCCTGGCGGACAAAAGCCTGCAGGTCAGCCAAAGGAAGAAAAAGTCTGGAAAACGGTCCAACTGGCTGCCAGGAACCACAACATGGGAATGGGAGGTTACAGCTCAGAAGAGGGAATCCGGTTTGGACCTTCTCCAGCTGCGAGTCTGGGCTTTCTTTTCTCACGGACCAACCCAATTTTGTTTATACGTGCCTGTGCGGAGGAGGGGGCAGTTGCCAGCGAGTTTCTACAACTATCCACGATTTGGCAGAATTTGGCTTCCTCTGCCCAACGCACTGCTGGAAAACCACCGGGCTCTGTGGCCCCACATTTTTATGCCTGTCTTTCTTGCCTCTGCCAGGAAAGGAGCCGGGGAGGCTTCTCCAGGCAGGAACCTATGCAGAGCCGGCCATTCCTCCTCTGCTCGGGGCAGGGTGGGGGGCATCACGCTCCTGCTTCAGCATATACCAAATCCAGGCTGCCATTCCCCTCTTTAAGCGGCACACCTCGTGCGCACACCCAGCCCTTGCCCCCTTCCCTGTTTTTGGACTTTCCTGCGTCTCCTCCCATCCCTTACTTGAACTGAAGAGTTCTGGAGAATTAAAAGTTTATACACACATTTGGCTGATTTGAACAAAATGTAATGCCAACTACTGAATGGACATGAATTCTTTTACCTGGACCAAACTGACAGCTTTAAAAAAAAACCTCTTCCATGAAGGATTAAGAAAAGCAGAGACTGAAAAGTCATCTTCCAAACCTGCCCAAATTCTTCCCTTCCAAATCTCTTCTTTACAGTCTCAACGGTCTATGATTGTAGCTTCGTGATCTAAGCGTAAAACACTTAATACTGTACTTTCCATTTTTCTTCCGAATAATCACAAGGCAGGAGGTCAGACAGTGACATTCATGGAGTGATTCTATACACTGGGCTAGTGAAATGACTAGCAAATCCTGAATTCTGATTTTTGGTACCTTAATTGCAGCAGAATAGTAATTTTCCATATTCATATAAAGGATTTTTTAAAAAGAGTTTCTATTACAAACAATGCAGCCATCTACTGAAGTACAATCTACAGACTAAAAAACAGCCTTCAGAGAAACGAAAATAGCAGCAGTCGCATGGCCTGTTTAATGCAGCCCCATTTAGTCCCTTGAAAAAGAAAAGATCCCAAAGTCTGTCCGTGTGTCCCACGTGCAGGTTCTGCTCAGCAGGGCAAGTCGCCAATCCTAAGAGAGGGACAGCCGAGAGCTGCCAGCGTTTCATAACAGAGCACGCCACCGTGCTTATCAAAAGGATTCAAGTTTCCCTCCTGTAAATCTGCCTTTAGAAAGCAAACTGGAACATTGATATAGGTAAGTCAAACATAAAAGTTGCTCTTGAAACTATATATAAAATTTGAGTTTAAGCAGCACTTCAGTATCTGCTGAGGTTTTGCCTTTTTTCTGGTATAACTAACCACAAAGTTAGCTAGTGTCCATTTTTTAATAAATCAAATGCTACTACCGACAATGTAAAACTAGAACCCACAAAATTTTTTTGAAAAGTGCACAATGAAATCAAGAGTCTCGGATCAAGTATCTGTGGAGAACTGGAAATGTTTTGTCCATGGGACTTGATATGCACAGGGCAGACAGAGGTATTAAAGTTTCTCGGATCCAGACTTGGTCTGCCGGTCAACGTAGAAGAGGATATAGGCCTTGGCTTTCAGTACGGTCTCCTCGTCCGTCAGCGTTACCGTGCTGTCGTTGAAATGGAACCAGCGCCCTTCGTGAGTCGCGTAAGCGGTGTAATGTCCAGAACCAACCCTGAAAATGCCAGCACACGCAACATGAAAGGAGACGCCCCTTTTTCTGTTTCCAAAGCCAGCGAGCAGCTCAAGAGGACAGCGTCGCCCGAAGGCTGTCCGGGAGCAGCCGTGCACCTCTCGTGGCCTCGGCAGCCTTTCCGCAAAGCAAGCCCACGCAAGATGGCGCCCCTCGAGCCGAGCCACACGGTATTCAAGGGCTTCCGACTGCTTAATCCTGCCAGTTTAACGGCCACTTTTTCCGAGAGAAATCCCGCCTGTTCACAGAGAAGGCCACCCGAGGATGGCCGTTCTGGGGAGGGAGGGCAGGCCACGGGAGAGCCACCCTAGCTCCCGAGCGCTCTGCAGGGGCTTGGACCACAGCCCTGCCTGCCGTTGGAGGAGCGGATGCTTCCGTCTGGCCCCCATCGTGATTCAATTCATGCCAGTTTTTCAGACCGATGCCCCTGAGACCCAGACCCTTCCAAGTACTCACCCTGAACCATGGTGCACAACCACGGCCGCGAGGTCGTACAGGCAGCTGTCTGGGCCACTGTTTTCAGGCTGCACAGGGGGATAGGAAGCAAAAGAAACTGAGTGCGCCTGAAGCCGCGGTCTTTTCCCCACCTCTTCTTCCCAGGCCACGTCCCATACCTCTAGCAAGTAGCACTTCATGTCTAGGCCTCGCAGAGGGAACTCGACAAAGGTGTCCACTTTGTTCCTCAGGTACGCCGTCCAGTGGAAGCGTTTCAGGTGCAGGCACAGCACCTGGGCATTAAAGGGAACACACAAGCACAAAACCCTGAATGGGTCAGTTTGTGAAAACCCTAAAATCAAAGCACAGTTTGGCAGCAGCTTTAGACAGAGGAGCACAAATTATTCTATGAAAAAATAAAACAATTTCACAATAACAGCAATTATTTATCTAAAATATTTATATACTGCTTCCTATTAAATCTCAAAGCAGTTTACAGAAGCTCACAGACCTAGCAACAATTCAGTGCAAAGTAAGTACCTGAGTACATGTCCTTTAG